AAGTTTAAGTGTGGGAGAGCCATGCTTCGGCACGAATGGGCCGGCTCGACCGGAGTGATACCACGGCCTCACAGAAAACCGACGTGAAGCAACGCTTGCGTTGTGTTTCGTCGTGTGAGTGAGGTTACCGGAGGCCCAATTACTCTCCCCTTCCCCAATCTCCCCAATCCCTGAATACCCAACGATCCTCAAACTCCTAATCCCCAAAAGGCCGGTAACGCACTTGTAACGCATCTGGTGTTTCAGGCGTCCAAGGGCGACGCCGATTGCTTACCATCAGGTGATCCGTCTGCTCGTTTACTGGCTTATCCCATAAAAAAAAAGAATCTGAAATACTTGCCTTAACGTACTCAAAATGAGTGGTACTTTTATCGCGAAATTACTCCGGTTTTCTGTGAGGCCGTGGTACCACTCCGGTCGAGCCGGCCCATTCGTGCCGAAGCATGGCTCTCCCACACTTAGCATGGCTCTCCCACACTTAGTATGGCTCTCTCACACTTAGCTTCTTGCTTCTTGTTTCTTCATCACCATTAACACATCAGCGACGAGACTTCCACAGCTGAAACCTACCCCCAAAGAGTCGAGGACTCAGGTTCTATGAACTGTATTAATTCCTGACACTTGTTTTTGGTCAGGTGGGGTTCAATCACGCAGGCTTCGACAGTGCGCCTGGGCATCGACGAGAAAGGATGCGACGTGCACGTGCCCATGTGTCAGTTACTACCCATGGTTCACCCCGACGATTTGGGTAAGTTCAAAAACTATTTTTGAATATGAGTGTGTTCCAGGTTTACCTCATGTCATTTGTTTTGTTTTTTGAAACTTATTCTGCTCAGCCTATGTCCGTCCAGCTAATTCGAGAATTAAAAAATAAACCACTACCACTACCAAAGCCGGTAACAGCCAGTAACACTTTCTTGAAACCTCTTTTGAGCTCTTACGTTATTGTGACTAGCAAAAGTCGCTAATGACAAAAATACATCGAATAAAATATGTAAAGATATCCAACCACCGCCTTTTTGAAACTCGGTTAACAATATCTATTGTTCCCAGTGATTGACGGTTGGGACATAAGTCCGATGAACTTGGCTGAGTCTATGGTACGTGCCAAGGTCATAGACTATGACCTGCAGCAGAAGTTGAAGAAGGAGATGGCGTCGATGAAACCACGACCAGCTATTTACGATCCTGACTTCATTGCTGCTAACCAGGTTAGTTTAGTAGATAAGTGATTGTTGAAGGTGAACAGAAAACATGCAGTCAGATGGTGGTAATGGATCAACACCAACCTGCGGCATTAAAGTGCGTTATTGCTTATTTATTCGTATGGCACTTACGGTCGTTTATAAAATTAGAATGTTATTTTATTATTGCATATATTCAGAATACAAGTGGCAGGTCTTTCAGAAAGAGTATCTAAGCTACGCTCTTTTCTTAATGGTTTAAAGGACTTATTACTTCAGAAATACATTCGGTGATAGCTCATTCCACAGTTTTCTGGTTAGTTAAAATTAGTGTCCGACCGAAAAATATTAATAACATTTTTATTATTTTTTCAAATTAAGTTCTCATAGCATAATGTTTATCAGTTAACACTAATCAAATCAGTAATTGTTACTGTTTCATTAAATACTAAGTATTGGTATTTTATTATACCTCTATTCTCTGTACTGAATACTTATGTAATTTCCCACAACTTTATGCATTTTCAGAGATTCCCTTAATGCCTTTATAGATAATATCTAATTGTCAATTAGTAATTATACGACTAAGTTAAAAAGTTTTTTTTTTCTTGTATGGCCTGAGTAAAAAGTTTTATACAGGTTGGCGGTGATATTTTATTTGTCAAATAATGACAATCGTACAGTGTCGTGGGAAACAGAGTCATGCGAGCGTGAACATGTGTGAACTTGCGACATAAGTTTCGGTTTCGGTAAAAGTTTCGGCCGACTTTGGCCGAAACCGAAACTGCCGCCGAAACTTGATTTTTGGCCGAAACTCGGCCAAAACCGAAACCGAAATTGAAATTTCGGTCGGACACTAGTTAAAATACTAAAACCTTCTCCTAAATGTTACAAACACTTCTCAGAAAATCGCATCAAAGTCGGTTCAACCAATCGCAAGAATCGCGGACAAAAATACATACAGGTCCAAATAAGAATCAATTTCATTGAAATCTGTTAAAAAGAAGGAACCTAACGTAGCGTAGGTAAATAGCACTAAAAACGTAACACAGAGAATCTGTTTGTCTTCCTATAAAGATTACGCAAACATAGGTACATATATATATGCATCCTATACTTATAATTTACCGTGGAAGTGCAAGTACGTAGAGCCCTGAAGGACAGTCCAGTCTGATTATTGGCAGAAATAGCCCGCACATACGTAACGTGACGTCACACGCGTCACGTGCCACAGTTGTGACGTCATACAATATGGCGTGATTATGGTGTGTGCGAGTGGAAGAATGCTGAATATTTTGTGCTCGCATGTTTTTAATTTGTGTAACAGTTGCAATAAATACGGGTCAACGTTCGAAGTCTATTAAGTCTATAAACATAGATTTTGATGTTTTTAGGATTTCTTTTTAAATTAAATCGCATAATATAATGTCCTTCTTTTTTTGCCGGTGGAAAGTCTCCCCCTGACTTTACACTCGACTCCCTCTGGCCTCACCTAATATGAGAGGGAGTGTCAGACTCTTACTAATCCTAACTAAAAACCACCCCGTTCCTACTGGAAAAATATATGTAGTAGATGTAGTCGTGGGTGCGTTTATAATATGAATATAGTAGTAGAATTATATAGTAAAACTATCGTTTCTTCGCATAATGTATTGTTTTTTATTTTTTAGGTTACCTGACCTAAACGTAATGTTATTGTCGTGTTTAAAAATTTGCTACTATCCCTTTAGACTTCATGAAGTTTACATTTTCACCATCATCTACAAAATGTACATCAATTTAGATTTTGGTGCAGTTGAACATCTGTTGAACTGAACTTCACCTTACCCTGTACTATGGTCATATTCGCTCGATAGAATCGACTCCTCCCTATATCTAAAATAACTGCTAATATAGTCGATGAGTAATCTATTTATATCGCACGGTAGAGGCTGAAGGGCCATTAATATTTTAGTAATATGAGCTTTATTCGTATATACTCACTAGCGAATTTCTTTGTTGTTGTAGTATCGTTTTCTATTATTATATATAGTTGAAAGGTTTGTGTTTTAATTTGAATTTAAGGTTCAGGTAGTGTGTCTATTTCTCCGTATTTTATTTAGTGGTTGTCACGTCTTTTAAACGAGAATGAGGTCTTCTGCTCTGCCTCCAAATATTTTTGAATATTTGCACTGCCATGACCATAAAAGACGAAGCGTGGGAAGACCTAGGTAGACCGACGACATCGACAGAGTTGTGGGGAGCCAGTGGATGCATGTGGCGAGTTGTCGTTCGACGTGGAGAACTAAGGGGTAGGCCAGCAGTGGACTTCTTCAGGCTCTTGATGATGAAGATGATGAATTACACTGCTTCTAAAATAATGTGGATCTTATGATGAGATGGTTTTAAGAATAAAATATCTAAGTAAAGTTGAATTCAATTTAATTCGACACTAAGGCAAGAAACATATACTGCATTCTATCGCGGAAAACCTAACGGGTAACCGGGGCTCCGGCTCGACGTGCAGGTGAAGGAACGGGGTGGTTATTAGTCAGTAAGAGTCTGACACTCCCTTCCGCCTCACCCAGGCGGGAGCAGTCATTCGATGATTTTCCCCCCTTAAAAAAAAAATACTACATTCTATATCTCCATTAAGTTATGAGGCGAGGTACTATCGATTGTACACAGTATGTCACAGGGGAACTTTTGACAAGGGTACACCAGCAGGAGGCTTTTGTTAACAAACAAACAGATTGATAGACGGACAGGTTCAATGAAATGCCGTATGAAAAGGACTAGAAACTGCTCTTTGGTGAAGTAAAATGAGACTATTTATGATACGATTGTTGTATAGATCATGCTTGATTTGTATACTCCTTCCTCCGTCTACTTCTGGACTATGGGTCACCTTCGATTTGTAAGTAGAGAAAGTACTTTTGCGGCGCCCAAAAAGGCCTACAGTTGGAACACATTATGTCAAAAATTGTAAACCAACCTGTAGATGCATTAAAGTGATTTGATATGGTATACTATAATTTATTGATAAAAACCGCATCGAAATCCGTTGTGTAGTTTTAAAGATCTAAGCATACATAGGGACAGACAGACAGCGGATAGCGACTTTGTTTTATACTATGTATGATAGTGATATGGCTGGCACGTCAAAACACAATTTCGAAGCTTAGCAAATTAAACATAGAATACATTATACTATAAATGAAACCTTCAAAAATTCTAATGTTCTGTCACAATTTTTAAGAAAAATGATACTTCGTTGGACGAAATGAAATTTTCAATGCTAGAGGGGAACACAACGCCCTTCTGGCCTTGACACAATTCCAAATATGCCAATTTTGGCGACGGGATTTTCAACCAATGTTAGTTTAGCTATTTCGTGATGTCAAGGTTTTCAGGTCGATTTCACGCTGGCCTGAAAGTTCAGTGCCCGTTCCTCAAGCATAAGGGTGCTATTTGTAACAGGGCAGGTACGTATGTGACATTTTACAAGTTATATATACTTTTCTAGTTTATTCAGACATCATTGACGTACAGTGAAGGAAACTAGCAGCTGTAGCCAAATGTCATTTAGCGCTTGTCTACTTGTAGAGTAGAAAACTAAATTATATGGAATTGACGTAAATTTTGACACTTGTTAGTGTGATCCCCATACATTTAGTTTTCTGCTCTTTCTGTAGACAAGCGCTAAAGTGGCGTTTGGCTAAAGGCACTGGACTTCAAATTGCCAATTCGCCTCAAGCAAGTATGGAGAATGGTGATCATAATGCTCTTGTCTTTGCTCAGTAGTGAGACGGTCAATAGACCGATAATTATCGTATCGTATGAATCGTATCGCATACGCTACACACTGTTCATTGGAAAGATCTGTTTGATAAACAAAAGTGTGAATGAATGTAGTGTTCTTTAAAAGCGACTTGTAAAGTTTTCGTAGCAAAATTATCACTGTTATACGTTTGAACGTGTAAAATAATACTGTAGTAAGACATTTTATAGATGTTGTTAGATGTAAGTGAGACGTTTAGTCTTCGAGATCACTATCTTACTTTAAAGTACAAAAGTGACTACATCGTCTCATCTTCAGCAATCACAGAGCCATCAGACTACCACGAATGGGGTCCAATACGGCTAATGTCGATACGGAGCCGCGGAGAACTTAAGAGACTTACCGGGGCTCCGACTCGAAGTGCAGAAGTAGGAACGGGGTGGTTCTTAGTCAGTAAGAGTTTGACACTCCCTCTCGCCTCACCCAGGCGGGAGAAGACATTCGATTATTTTCCCTCTTAAAAATAATCACTAATTCTGTCATTCCTAACATAATCTATACATCTGTGGTACTACATCGTTCCTTTTAACCTTAAAAGGCTAATAGAGTCTTTATATCGCAGGTGCTAAGGTTCATTGTTGTATTTAGAACCCTAAGTTCTGAATTGACGATCGCATTTCTGCGTAATAATAGCTTGAGCGTTAACTTAGGTATAGGAGTAACTGGATGCCTTAACTTTTTGCTTCATTGTTCTCGGAAAGGTCCGAATTCGCGACTGCATTGTGATCATGCGTCCTGCCATTAGCCAGTGTGTTTTTATTACACGCACACGCACACAATATGATAAAATTTTGTAAGTGTGCGTGTCACTGATCTCCTAAACGGTTGAACCGATTTTGATGTTAAAGATTTTGAAGATTTTTGACGCTATGGATGATTTAGATTTATTTTTCTGTACAGCAACGCCTTTTCATTCAGTCTATGACTGTCCGATTCGCCAAAATGGTATATGTACACAGGGCCACACATCAATCTATACAAAACCAGTTTATCCTGGTGTCGCGTCGCATCATATTTCCGCACATTTAACGTTCAGTTTATACTGGTTATGTAAAGCTCGACGTGTAGCCATGTGTACATACACATCTATCTATATTTAGACAGTTACTCGGTAAAAGCCTTTCGTCCCTCGGGCTTCGATATATAAAATAAATAACATTAAATATCGCTAATGTTACCTGCACGAGCTAAGTATATTATAGATATA